AACTTTGTATTAATTAGTACATCTTGTCACTAATGATGATTTTATCAATAAATTTCATTAAAATGGAGTAAAAAAACTTAGATCTTGTTTCAAACTGATTTTTTCAAAATCATTTTTCTCTATACTCATTTTTAGCCATACATTTTTTAATAAATATAATTTTTCATATTTATCATAATGTTTTCCTGCTTTTTAATCACATAAGCTCCAAAAAAAATTATTCTTCACAAAGTCACCTAAAAAAAAACTATCTTCACCCAATGGCTTAATTGCACCTTAATATTTTTGTATCTAGAATGTCGATGCTCATCTTAAAGCACGCTAGCAGAAATTTTGGAAAATTTTGTCATTAAGGACAAAATTTTTAAATTAATGAAAAAAAAATGAGAATATACTTGGTACATAAAAATAATATTAAATAAAGGATAAGAACTTTCAATAAAATTATAATATAGCTTTTAAAACAAGGTTTTCGGTGAAAATAATCACTCTTTTTTATTTAGAAACAATTAATTTTGTGGCTTATTATAATTTGTCCAAGACTACATCAAAAGTTAAATGGAGATGAGAATTCAAGGAATAATAATCATATATGCATTACTTTTATCAAAATTCGTAAAAAAATGTATCAAAAGCCATCAAATGACCACTTAACAACATAAGAAATGTCTCTTGTTTTACTCATTAAAGTTCATTTGCGATCGTGTGGAACTTGTTAATTTCACTCTCCCTTGAGGCAAAAGCTCAACTTGTTTTTGGCTCACACCTACTCCAAAGCGAAACAAGTACTCAAAAAAAAAAAAAAAAAAAAAAAAAAAAAAAAAAAAAAAAAAAAAAAAAATGAGGCTCGAAGGCAGTAGCTCAATCACAACATGAAGAACCAAGGAATTTCATGGTCCAATAAATAGCAAAACCCAGATTTAGGCATGTACCTACACCCTACTTTCTTGTGATATCAGAAAAATACTTCATGTGTTACATTACTTGGAAAAAAAAAATGCTTTTTCTATAAATTCTGATATTTTAGCATTAATTATGTTTGATATATCAAATTAATTTTAACTGGAAAGCATGAATGAACAGACAACTATGTGATCTTAAAATATATTTCAATTCTCTCTCTTTTATAATTTGCTATAAAATTTCGCTCCTAATTGTTCGTTCTGTTGCATATGGTATTCTTTTGATTGTGTGACATTTGCATTATGCTATGATTGATAAAATAGATTTAAATATTTGATCATATTTATAATTTCAATTTGAGAAATTGAATTCCTGGAAGGTGATCTCTAATTTTAAATTAAAAATGCAACCTTTGTTGCATTGTATTGAATTTGAAATTTTTGAAGTTATTGAACAGTTGTGACCATTAGTCTCACAGCTTGTTTGTGAGTGATTTTTTGTCCCAAAAAATTGATTTTTTGTCCCAAAAAATTGATTTTTTGATCGTTATTTCACTATTTCAACCGTCATATTTGACTTCTTCTCTCACAGGTGAATCCCACTTTTCTCCTAACGATAAAAAAATCAATTATCAAAATCACTCCCAAACAGGCTCTCAGTATGTGACCTCAATTTTAACCTTGGGTTCGTTTGATTTTAAAGATGGAATTTTGATGGAAAAAAATAAATTCTAAGGAATTGAATTGCCTATAAATTATTTTCCTGGGAATTGTTAATTTTTGTGTTTGATTGGTATAATTTTTCACGTAAAAAATGTTGAAATAAAAGTATTTTTTGGGTTTGTTTGACTTTATTTTATATGAAAATTGTCAATTAAAGAGATCAAATTTGCTGGTATTGGAGATAAAATTTGTTTCCATTGCAAAAAAAATAATAATAATAAAATCATCTATCTTTTAGTGTTCGTTTAGTTTTATTTTATATGAAAATTATCAATTAAAGGAAAATATTTTTTTTACAGTAATTCTTAGAATTTGTTTTCATTGCTTTAAAAAAAGAAGAAGAAGAAGAAGAAAACGTGAACAGTGGGTTGGAAAACCAATTCCCACCATTTTCCTTGAAAACCAAGAAAATACAAATTCCCAATACAACCAAGAAAATAGAATTCCATGGAAAATAAACACATATCAAACACACAAAATTGAAAAAAAGTGGAATTGGAATTCCATTTTTCATGGAATTCGAACCAATCAAACAGGCCCTTAATGTGTTTAAGTTTTAAATTTCATAGATGACAACTATTGTTGAGCAAACGTGACTTTTAAATTTCACTTAGGGTGTGTTTAATTACATTTATTTTTCATGAAAAATAAATATTTTTCACCCAAATTCTTACTTGCAGTGTTTAATTGCTATTTTTTTCCATGGAAAACATTTTCCATCTTTTGAAAATATGCCTAGTTTTCCTTGTTTTTAAAGAAAATATTTTCCTTGGGTAAGGGTGATTTTTGTTTTCCACAAAAGATGGAAAACATTTTATTTTCTAGGTGATATTTTTCATGTCAATCAAACATTCTTAGAAAAATTTTCCTTAAAAACAAGGAAAATTAGGCATATTTTCAAAAGATGGAAAATGTTTTCCATGGAAAAAAATAGCAATCAAATACTCTAAATAGAAATTTGGGTAGAAAACTGATATTTTCTATAAAAATTAAATATAATCAAACACACCATAAATGTAAACTCAGAATTCGAATTCCATTTTTCATGGAATTCGAACCAATCAAACAGGCCCTTAATGTGTTAAGTTTTAAATTTCATAGATGACAACTATTGTTGAGCAAACGTGGCTTTTAAATTTCACTTAATGTACTCCACAAAAAAATAAAAAATAAAAAAATAAAATTGTCACGCGAACGAAAAACAATTTATCAAGAAATGTGAAAAAGGCAGTATTTTTCAGTTTATGAAAATTGAAGAAGTGCTCAACCTAATTTTTCCCATTTACCTTACAGTTGATTTATTAAAAATATTAAAATATTAATCATGTGCTGTCAACATCATTAAACAGAGTATTTTTCTTCGAAAAGTTGATTCCACGACTTTTGGTAGCTTGGTCAATGCTAATTAGGTAGCCTTAAAAATATTATCTTTTTCAAACAAAAATCACTGCTACATCACGTGTCATCCACCTTTGTAGAAAATTAAAATCAAATAATTAATTTTTGTTTTTTGTTGACGCTTCTTTATATCGATTTTTCAAATATTAAGCATTACGACTATTAACTTGTTTGGGAGTGATTTTTTTCTCTAAAAAATTAATTTTTTGATTATTATTTTACTATTTCAATCGTCATATTTGACTTTTTATCTCACGAGTGGATCCCACTTTTCTCTTAACGATCAAAAAATCAATTTTCAAAATTATTTCTAAACAGGCTCTATGTTAAGAGTTCGTTCTTCAAGAGTCGTAGTAAATCCGCCTACTTTTTTTTTTTTTTTTGCTTATCCTTATCCCAACGAGCCAAAATCAAAGCTCTCATTTTCTTTTGAGTAATAGTTCACATCCTCAGCCATTGAATTGAGACAAGCACAATCAAATAGGGAAAACGATGAACAAACAACAAATACGAATGATTCCTCGAAAAGTTAAGAATTATTAATTTTTTTAAGAAATCGAATGGATCGAACGTACTATCTTTGTCCTTCAACGACTATATGTCGTGATCTAGTTCGACTCATATTATTACCCAAAAAAAAAAATATATATTAAAATTGGGAGAGAGAGCGGGGGACCCAAACAAGGCACTGAACCACAAGGTTACACCTTTCAGCATCAATCCCATTCTTTCCCGTTAGGCGGCTAACGGTGGGCCCAACACCGTGCGTGCGTTTTTGACCCGTTTACCGGTTCCCGGTTACTCATCCTAGTCGCTTCTCAAAACGGATAAAATAGATAATTTTAGTAATAAAAAAAAAAAAAAAGGTATTCAGCTGAACTAAAAAATTTTAATTTTTTAATCACATATTAAAAAGAATACATTTAAATATATTAGAAATATAAAAATTGCATCCATAGATCGCAATCTTTCCTTCCCATCTCACCTAATTATGGAAATTATCTACTTAGCATGGCCGATTTGATGTTGCCAAAAATGGATGGAATATAAAACTTTGATGCATAATATGATAATAGACTGACATTGAATTCCAACTCAAAAGATATCAAAATCTCTCAGAGAAGAATGCTGAATTGTTTTTGTAGTCCTACTACTCATTGATTAGAGCAACATTTCCAATTTAAGAATATAATTTGATGTTTTCTGTACATATTATTTAATCATTTTTATCTAGAAATCACAGTCTCGACTCTCTTCTTGTTTGTCGTTGTTGCGTGTATATGTGTCAAGGAATTATTTTCAAACAAGCTAGCAGATAATATGGCAATGTTTTGTGCATTTTCTTGAATTCATCATCATAATTGATGGAGTCCCTATTCACCGAATGGAATACCATTTTTCTTTCCTCTTCTACCCCAACCGAAAAGGATTTTTAAAATATTTGCTAACCTTTAATTCAAAACGTTTAGGCGACTTTATAGGTTAGTAGTCACGTCTCTAATTTTTCACATGGAAGGACTTGTTTTCCAACACCACCCTCCCCTTGCAAGTGCAATCTAGATTTTGGTTGATAGGTGGATTTGTAGATTAGGAGAACAATTATATTATTTATAATTATTTTACTCGTGTCAATTCAAATAAAATATTCTGGTTCTGCAATTGGATGCGCCACCCGAATGTGTTGTGAACGTAATTTCGGTAGAGGCTTTTCGGTAGAAGTGATTTATTTCTGTCAAAAAAAATAATAACAAAGGATGTGAAAGTTTGTTACAAATAAGTTTATGCAACTTTTGAGATAAGCCAAACAGGGTTTGTGTAAAATACGTCTGAACAGGTTGCCTTTAAGAAATTTTCATTTTTAGCAATAATAAAGAAAACATAAATTCCAGTTGGTCTCAATTTAATATACATTATTCAATACAACTGGTACTGACAGTGGAGGTAAGAGAAAATTAAGTAGAGAGAGAAAATAAGTAGAGAGAGATTTTTGACTTATGCGTTCCTTCCTCTGCAATGACTTCACCCGATTCCATTTCACTGACCGTTAAACACTCAACCCCTCAATAATAATATACTATTAATAAATCAATTTTTACCAGAAAAAACCCTCTCCATTTCTCCGCTTGCATGCTTTTAATTTCCGCAAAAAATTGACATAATAAGTTTTAATGTCCATTTTATTCACGTTTGCTGACAAATTACTATTTCTTTGACTTTTGATTTTAGCTTCTTCAGATCGAGTTTTGGATTAGGGTTTTGAGATATTGTAGCGAAGGTTGACTTTCTCGGTAGGTTTTGAGGTGGAGGTCGGTGGTTATTTAGCATTAGTTCAGTACAGTAGTGGCGAAACATAGGTTTTTAATGGAGAATCTAGGTTTATAGGTGATGGGTTGGGGTCAAATGTTAATGGATCGGTCGGTATCTGCGATCTCAATCTTGGGTTTTTTCTGCTTAATTATCGGGATTTCGCGATTTTCTCGGGTTTCTGCCAACGCTGAAGGTCTGTTCATCTGCTTTGTATTTCAATTGAAGTGATTTGGATGTATCAATTGCCTGTTGACTTGAATTGAGTTTAATTATATTGTGAATTGATTTGTTTCAAGCCCGTTTCTTGTTTATTGTAAACTCAAATCACGGTTTGAAGACCCATGAAGTTTCTGTTTTATTTACGGGGATATATTATTGTAACTTTACTATTACAAAACTGGGGAATTCGCCAGGATTTATTTAGGAGCTAATGAAAGAGTGCCATTTTATATTAGCCATTACTTGGGATAATTCTCTCCTTTTGTTCTGTTCTGGTAAGTTTAATTGTTGACTTGTACATTATGACAATGAAGAAAAGAGCAGGGTCGGGACTCGATGGCTATTATGTTTATTCCTCCCACTTGCGATACTCTTGTTTACAACATTAATTTAAAACAGACAGTGGTGCCTCTGACGCTTATTATTACAAAGTAGTTAACTCATATTTGTTGGCTTTCCGAATAATTGTTGATTTGTTTGGTCGTTGCTTTACTTGAATTTGTAAAATAAATGGTCCTCGATATTTGCTAATTGATTTACGTGTGACAGGTGATGCCTTGAATGCATTTAAGACAAACTTGGCCGATCCTAACAATGTTCTTCAGAGTTGGGATGCGACACTTGTCAATCCGTGCACTTGGTTTCATGTTACATGCAACAATGACAATAGTGTTACTAGAGTGTGAGACTGCTTTGTCCATTCCATAAATAGCTACACGAGGTGCTTTGTAGAATTAACATGATCCTCCTGTTTTTGAAAATATTTTCTTTGTGCTCAGTGATCTAGGCAATGCAAATTTGTCCGGTCAACTGGTTCCGCAGCTTGGTCAGCTCCCATATTTGCAATACCTGTAAGTCATCCTTTGCAAAACAAAATCACTTAATTGACATTTTTCGACTACTTTTTTGTTAATTTGTTTACATGTTATCTGTGTCACCTTACTATGCATTCATGTGATATATTTTCTCGATCAACAGATGAGGAATGAAATAATTGTGTATTTTATATATATTTGTTGGTCTGAAAGGAGCATGTAAGTCACTGAGGACACAACTTGTTTGTTGTTCCAATCTGTTTCATGGAATTTTATCTATTTAGGAGATTTCCCTCACAATGACATATTAATTTCCTATTAGATGCTGACTCTACTGCAAGGTTCTGTGGATGAATGTATGTTTTATTATTTTGAAAGCTGTTAATATTTAGTTCATTTTCTATTCAGTTACTCAAAGATCACATGTTTATCTCTTTACAGACATGTTATCTTCTTTGATTACTGATACTGTAAAAAAATGCTAAAAAAGGTTTAATTTCCAGTACTTTGCCCTTTTCCTAAAAAGATGATGCGAAGGACAAGCAATAAATTTGCTTTAATTATATATTTAGAAATATATTAATTTTGTGAATTGCATTGCTGTTAGCCTGTTAAGCATTTTCTTCGTTGCTTTGTAGTCAGAATATTGACTATGTCACTCATTGGACATTCAAGAGACCTTAGATTTACATGACTATTGATATGCACTTATAATTTTTGCAAGTTGCTTGTTCCCGTAGGCGTAATATTTGTTTACATATTATCATCTTAACCTTTGTGCCCTCTCCCTTTTTTATATGCATTTTGCAGGGAACTTTATAGTAACAACATAAGTGGAAGAATTCCAAATGATCTTGGGAACTTAACAAACTTGGTGAGCTTGGATCTTTATTTGAACAGTTTAACTGGTTCCATCCCGGTGACCCTGGGTCAGCTTCAGAGATTACGCTTCCTGTACGTGATACACCTTCTGTTTCTTAGCTAAATATTTTATGGCTTTCTTTCCCTTTCTTTATCTAAAGTTTTTGCCAGAGAGAGGTTACAAATTGGCCTTAGATAGTTGTTTTTGAGAGCCCCAATATGAACATTTAGAGTAGGATTCTTAATTCTTTTTCCTATATTTTTTTCCTTTCAAAGTAATTTTTCCTCTATTTATTGAAAATTGCTAAAACAAATTTGGAACAATGCTTAAACCTTTCATCTCATACAATATTAAGGCCTCATAGACGGATTATATTTGAAGAAGTTATTAACGCAGTATCTCCCTCTCATTAAGTTCAACTACTAATTATTGAGAAATTTTCAGGAGAAACTGTATTTTTGTGATATTAATTTCATGGATTCTTTTAAACCTAATTATGTGTGTTTATGGACTACTTAGGAGACTTAACAATAACAGTTTGACTGGAACTATTCCTTTGTCTCTGACGACCGTCATTTCACTTCAAGTCCTGTAAGTAGAGAATTGATGAATTTTCTTTTGTCACTGGTGGTTTTTCTTTGCTTCTTGTTTTTTGGCTGACTAATTATTAATAATCATTTTCATGTATAAATACAGTGATCTGTCAAATAACGATTTGTCAGGGACGGTTCCGGTCAATGGCTCCTTTCAACTTTTCACTCCTATCAGGTTTAATACAATTACTTCCATCTTTTTCCATAGTAGACTAAGTCACTCATCAAGGTCTTATTCTGACCGTCAAGTTCCTGCCTTCCAGTTTCAACAATAATCCTAAACTGATAGCTCCTCCCGTATCTCCACCACCTCCACTTCCACCGACGGGTCCATCTTCATCGCGAGGTTCGTCAATTCTTTACGATTTCCATTTTTCGCAACATTTTATTTTCCGTGCGCATCACATGGCAATAGCATATTAAGAAGATAAGCCTTGCTCGTATGATCTAGTAAAATATGATACAATAGTGGTCAGAAGTCGGACATGCTTTCTCATTAACTAGCGGGAGTATCCAATATAGTTACTGATATATGTAATAATTTTGTTCTCCTGTTTTTCAGAAGCTTAGAATTTTATATTATTTTAATGATCACCTCAAAGCTCATCCCATTTTTTTAATTGTTTTGTGTTGAAAATTTTTGACTCTGGGAAGGTAAAGGATTATTTTTCATTTACTGTCAAACTCACATTTCACCATTTATTTATTCATTCATACGTCACATACTAATCTATTGATTAGTGCTACAGTTGGCAACAGTGCAACTGGGGCCATTGCAGGAGGGGTTGCCGCTGGAGCGGCTCTTCTCTTTGCTGTTCCTGCGATCGCGCTGGCTTGGTACCGAAGAAGGAAGCCACCAGTTCATTTCTTTGATGTTCCTGGTTAGTGAACCTAAAGAGGGCATTAATTTATCATAATTATTTTGTATGATGTGTTCTTAATTATCTTCTATTCATTTGCAGCTGAGGAGGATCCAGAAGTCCATTTAGGCCAGCTCAAAAGATTTTCTTTGCGTGAACTCCAAGTTGCAACAGATAATTTTAGCAACAGAAATATTCTGGGTAGGGGTGGATTTGGTAAGGTTTATAAAGGACGGTTAGCAGATGGTTCTCTTGTGGCAGTGAAAAGACTAAAAGAAGAACGTACACAAGGTGGAGAGCTGCAGTTTCAAACAGAAGTAGAAATGATCAGCATGGCTGTGCATCGAAATCTCCTTCGGTTACGTGGCTTTTGCATGACACCAACAGAGCGATTGCTTGTTTACCCTTACATGGCTAATGGAAGTGTAGCATCATGCTTAAGAGGTAGAGCTTGTTATATTTTCATATATTTCTTATTTAACCGAGTCATATATGTATGTTTTGTGCATATGTTTTGATTGCTGATTATAATGTTAATTATGTTTTGTAGTTTAAGCAATGAATTATTTTATAAGCATGATATTGATTGAAGCAACAATTTGATTTATGAGGACTAAAAGAGATTTGTTAGTGGAAATGATGTTCTTACTTTAATTTATGATGAGAACCTAAATCTGGAAAATAATTAATATTGCAATCATGATCTAGAGTACTAAGGAATTCCCTACATGAGATGCTAGCTACAAGTTAATTTTAAGTAATTAATTATATTATGTAAGTAAACTACATGTATCATCCAAAGTAGCTGAATTCGATTTGGTTTATGCATCTGACAATCATATTCATTATGGGGGTAAACTATCATAAATTCTTCACTAGTTAAATGTAAGAAATGATTCACGCCACTCTACTGTTGTCAGCATGTCATTCTCATGTAGGGGAAAAAATAGAATAGATGTATTAGCTGCTTTGTTGTGAATTTAACTAACTTGTTTATTTGAAGATAGAGTGATAGTGACACTCAACACTAGTGATCTATTGCCCTTTGTGTAATTATGATGACTTGACTTCTGGTTTCCACAGTTTTTAAGTTGTGGCGATGGAGTAAATCCAAAGTCTTAATTCCTGTCCACACAACAAATTTCAACAAATAAGATGTCTTGTTGTTTGACAGTATTATTGATGTAGAAAGGGGTACTAACTCTTTGCCAGATGCCTCGCACTCGTTACTTGCTCATTTTCTTTGTGTCTTTCCAGAGTAATTTCCTTCCATTCCTTGTCATTTTTTCTTTTTCTCACAGAAACTTGTTACCAATTTTCAATGCGAATCTGCTTCTGCCACCATCAACCCTTGCCGGTTATATCATACTACAACATGCAACAGCAACCAAGCTTTGCCATGATTACACAGACAAAATTAATAAGCAGATTTGAAAATGTGTGTGTGAAAGGAATGACAATTCATCACAATGATTTGGTAAAACCGATTGTTGGACATCTTTGGTTTGATAATGATAGTGGTTTTGGTGGATGGCAAGTGGTCCATTAGAGTCGGGGCAAATGTGGTTGTTGACAAAATTTTATTTTTCATTTGTTATATCGTCAAATGGATCTTACAATGCAGCTGCACATTAACTTGCCACGTTGATAGTTGATGTGTAGTATCTGGAAACGCTCTGCTTTATAATTTTTTTTGTTATTTATTTTCTAATAGCTTAATAATGCATTATTATAGAGCGATCCGAATCACAACCCCCACTTGATTGGCCAATAAGAAAGCGCATAGCCTTGGGAGCTGCAAGGGGGCTTGCTTATTTGCACGATCATTGTGATCCTAAGATCATTCACCGTGATGTAAAAGCTGCCAACATATTGTTGGATGAAGACTTTGAAGCAGTAGTTGGTGACTTTGGGCTGGCCAAACTCATGGACTACAAGGATACTCATGTTACCACGGCTGTACGTGGCACTATTGGTCATATAGCTCCCGAGTACCTCTCCACTGGTAAATCTTCAGAGAAAACTGATGTTTTTGGATATGGAGTCATGCTTCTTGAGCTCATTACTGGGCAAAGAGCTTTCGATCTGGCTCGTCTTGCCAATGATGACGATGTGATGTTACTGGATTGGGTGAGCACTATCATTTTGTCTAGGCTGCTTGTTATTCACTATTATGTTGCATAAAATAATTATCTTTTTGTACTTCCTTAAGAGCTTCTTGTGTAGGATTATTCACTATTATGTTGCATAAAATAATTATCTTTTTGCACTTCCTTAAGAGCTTCTTGTGTAGGATTCAATATCGAACCTTGAAATGGATAGAAAAAATTACAGTGCTCTATTATGTTCTTATGCTCAACGAAGCTCGCTTAAAATATACCTAAAGTCCTTTATGGCTTGTTTGGTAGAATGGAATGTACCCAATTGGACACTAGAGGAAGAAAAAAGCTCAAATATTGTTCATAAAACTGTTGGATCTTGTTTAATACTGCCAGCAAAATATGCACTTCGTGTTTTTGCATGGTTTCCCTTTAGGATTTGTCATATCATTTATTTCTGGACTTGAATTTCAGGTTAAGGAACTCCTAAAGCAGAAAAAATTGGAAACTTTAGTCGATGCAGACCTTCAGGGCAATTATATTGAGGATGAGGTGGAGCAACTAATTCAAGTGGCTTTGCTTTGCACGCAAAGTTCCCCTATGGAACGTCCCAAAATGTCAGATGTTGTCAGGATGCTTGAAGGTGATGGCTTGGCTGAGAGGTGGGAGGAGTGGCAGAAGGAAGAGATGTTCCGTCAAGAGTTCAATCACACCTACCATCCGAATACGGACTGGATAGTTGCCGACTCCACTTCCAATATCCGACCCGATGAATTATCAGGGCCAAGATAATCTTCCTGTGGTTCTACGATCAAAAACTCATGGAGATCCTCTGTATTTGATTGATAATTGTCATCTCTGTAAATGATCCTCAAATCTATTTTTCGATTTTTGTTCAGTTTCCAGTTGATATCATGTTTCAGAATTTTGATGATGCAGGGATGCTTGTAGGACACCATTTGATATGTTCATGTGCAAGTTAATCACACCAGAAATGTATTTTTATGTATTATTGAATAGTGAAATCATAAAAGAAAAAAAAATGGCAGATCTGTTGCGACCAAGGAATGGCATATGCTTATTTATTCTTTCAGAACGCTTATCCTTGCTCTATTTCTCAAGAGATTCCTTTCTTTAAGTGCACCATTATCAACTAAAGAAATGCTAGTCCGGGTATGAAGATTCCAAAACGTTCTCGTACAACATTTAGGGCGCGTTTAGTTACATGGAAGGAATTTACATATAAAGAAAAGAAGATTTAGTTGCATAAAAATCATTAATTAAATGTGTTTGATTGATTTAATTTTCAACTCAAAAAATGTTATACTTCTCCATCTTTTATTGGTGGATAAATAAGAGAGGGATAAATGTGCATGTGTGAGGGAGTGATTTGTTTGTAAAATAAAAATTTGTCATGTGATCAATCTTTAAAAAATATTTTCTATGAAAAAAATATCAATCAAACATCCTAAAAGTAGAAACTTTAGTGAAAAAAAGAATAAAAAAAAAGACATGAGCCGAATACAATTTTCTTTTATAAAGGTCTAATATATGAAATTTCATAGATAAGATTTGAACTCAAAAGCTTGATTTGTTCTAGAATTAACAAAACCACATTCTCCAAAAGATACTACTTCCGACCACCGGCTCCAATCCTCGGTTTGCCTTTGACTTCAGACTCCTGCACAACCAACCAAATATAGCGTGTTCAGAATTTAGACCACGATGGAGCTCTAATGTCGACAGGAGAACATTTTCAAACAAAACAAGGACCTGTGGCAAATGCAAGTAAATGTATGTTTTTGCTGTTGCAGGGTTGTGATTTTCTGCACCCTTGCTCCAATCATAACAGACCTGAAAACAAAAAAATTCCAGCAAAATTTTCAGAAAAAGAAGATTTTGGAGTTAGGATAGCCAAGTAATTCATGTGAAATATTAGGTTAGCCACATAGAGAAAGATAAATGAAATCTATTGTAGTGACAAAAAGTTCAGCATCCAGAAAATTGTAAGAACTTCCTCAAGCTCGATTGTATTGGAAGTAAAAAGTAATCACGGACGTAACGTCGCCACATCTTTCCAACCACAACATTCTTCTCAAAGAAATAGCAGTCCCTACAATGACTAAAAAAATGATGAACACCCGTTAAATACTCACCGAATATGCGAAAATGGAGCCATCATTGTTGAAAGCGCTGGAAGGTATAGGCTGACCGCACCTTGCCATAGCCTAAGAAATGAGCATGCCAAGCAATGCGATTTAGAATAAACAGATAACTGCAAGCATTTTCAAGATTTAAGAAGGATTCCATAATACCTTAAGCCTCTGTTTGCTGTCTTTGTCCCAAAAGTTGAAGGCTCCATCAGATCCAGATGTTGCAAATGTGTGATGTACCTGAGACAAGGCATAGAATATAAGAACCAGGTCATCAATAAAGAAAACACAAATTCTATCGATGTTTTTAGCATAATGACAAAAAAAATTCCTGCAACGTTGGTTTAGGAAGCATTCAATGAGAATATCAGGGAGTAAAAACCTCTTAACATAAAAGCCAAACTGGTAGAAAAATTTTCAGAAGTGCTATTAGCCACGTATTTAAGACGAGATCTTTGACAATGAAAAATAACTATTTTCACCCACAAATTCTTGATGTTATCACATATTAGCAAGCTCACTCAATTCACATTTGAAGAAAAATAGATTGACTCTCCAGGTAACAAGAGGCAGTTAAGAGATTCCATCTCATGATTTTTCATCTCATTTGCTGATATGATAAAATGCTAAAAATGCAAAGCAAAATAATGATGCTTTTAGTTCAAGTATAAACTTAACGAGGTGATTTATTTAGATAGTGCGTCAAAAAAAAAAAAAAATTTCCTCATGAAGAACTCTAGTGTCATTCCATGATTCCTTCAAGTTTCTCTTCCCATTTAACAAGCTAAGCTTAACATCAAATTTAATGAAGAGCTAAAAAATATTAAATCACTGTCTATGGAGCATCGTAAAATTCAGATATATTCAATATATGTTCACGGACATAAACTCAAGAAGACAGAAGAAAAATCCAGAATCAGGAATGCTCGAAAGTTTTAAGCTGCAAACAATTTCCCTCCCACCACATCACATACAAACACTCAGAAGAATGAAAATGAAATAAAGAAAAAGGAAGGAAAAAATAAATGGGAGGATGGGAGCAAGAGGAATGACAATATATCAAGCTCCATTGACATAATTTAAAATGAAATATCTTACAGGGTGGAAATCCAACGAGTTGACAGAGTAAATGTCATTGCCTTCTCTATGGCATTTGAAAGTAAAGTTTTTACTTTGCTGTGAATCATCAATATGATGTACCCCAACTCTTCCTTCAATTGAGCCAACCTACAAGAACGATGCTAAATGTCACATTATAATCAGAAATTCACTGCACCTATAACATAATAATATCGATGCCATTGGAGATGAAATAATCATATGATTCCATGCATCCTTTTCTTCTACATATTTAGATATTTAAGACGAATTAGGAACATTTCTCCACATAAGCAAAATAAGAAAACAGAGAATCAGTTCTTCACAAACCAAAGAGGCAAAAACAACCACAAGTGTAATCATGTTAAATATTAACCCTGTAATACTGCATGGAAGACAGAAAGCAAATAGCAGCAAAGAGATTAATAGACAATGAAGTCTTCTCTTAGGGCTGCCATAGTGCAGGGGTCTCCCTCTGCATTTCCTTTTGTAAGTACAAGAGATGAGTGTGGAAATATCCGAATCTTCGAACTGTTTATTTTACACCCTGTGAGGTAGAACTTGGGTAGGTTAAGCAGTCAGTGTGCTTGCTCTTTCACTGCACATACTCGATTCAGAAGGAAGTTTGCCAAAGAAGTACATACAAGACTTCATCGCAATCCTTGACAACAAATATATTCATCCAAATTATTTAGAATTTCTACTTCACTGTTCATTCAGTTCTTATCAATCAAACACCAGACAATCTCAAATATGCATACAAAATATCCCAGAGTTTCAGTTTATCATCATTAATAATGTCAGTACTCGACTACTCGTTCCTGTTGAACGCCCAATCCAACTGTAACCAAGCAAGATCCCTTCAATTATGATTTGAATAACAAATATTTTAAAATCTACAAGTATCAACACATAGTCAACTTGAGATGCTACATGTAAATTAAGCTAGCAAAACATTTGTAACCAATACTAGATAAGAATGACTCATAACAAAATACTGGAGCAGACAAAATATAATCCACTGAATAATCTTAAGTCACAGAGAGTTGGAGAGAACTTACTAAGAAACCTTGCTGATCCGGGAAAGCAGCTAAACACCTTGTCTGGTACTTCAAGGGTGAAATAACTCTCTTGAACTCAGTCTGTCTTATCCCAAAAAAGCAATTAACCATGCAATGATGACATAAATAAAATAAAATAAAATAAAATAGCTAATAATTTTAGAAAGTCTATTGGCATTCAATCGATAAAATGTTGCAGAAAATGTCAGAAAGAGAAGACACAGAGAATTTAAGGAAGAGTACTCCATCATGTTTCAATGAACAACACGCCCCATGAATCACAAACTGGAATTATTGTCATGGATCGGGCAGGGAATGCTAGAAATATACATGAAGTTCAGCGCCCATATTCTCACAATCCACTGGTGAGATACAAAAGGAAGAAAAAAAAAGATATAATACTGAAATAAGGCAGCATTTCAACAAAACACGTGCCTATCCTGATAGTACCAAACAATGCACTTCTATTATTGCAATGTTGCTGATCTGGCAACATTACAGAAAAATGCAACGAGCTATGGTCTTACAGTGAAAGAAGACAGACGATCATTTGACAGGTGGAAGTTAATGTTTCATCAACCATTTGTGAGAGGCTTATTTATGTGACTATACCAATTATTCTCAAAGCAAACATCGACAAAGACAAGGAAAGCATTCGATTAATATAACTAAGAGACTTCCATTTCTGTCACTAGTTTGGATACTTGACAACAAAACCACCTTTTATCCTCTCTAAATGAGTTCATCAGTCTTTATAATGACAATCTTTGCGCCACCAAACCTCTTAAGAAATTTAACAATTATAGCTTATGCTGAAGGAGCACTTAACTGAGATTTCTCCTTCTTTGATACTATAAGCTCCAAACACCAACCAAGATACAAAATTTTATCATTCATCTATGTCCCATATTGCTTATATAGCAGAGCAAGAAAGGGGTATAAAACCTCTTCTTCGCTAGTGCATTATGTGACTTGTCAAAAAAATATTATAATTATTATTTGATTTGATCTAGAAACGTTTTTTCCTGCATATTCAAAGAAAGTACTGCCCAAAAATTAGTTCTTACCAAACGACAAAGGGATACTCAAGAGGATGGTTGCTTTCATTAATAGTGGCATCCTTAGATAAATTAAAATATTTTGTGAAGTATGAAGCTAAAACTTCTCTTCCTCCATTTTCCAGCTTGCAACTGCTATTGTTTTTTGTTCCCTTTTCAAAAGGTTTCCATCCCTTAAATTATTATACGAGACTGTTTTTTTAAACAATTTAAAAAAATATGCTACTTCAATGCTTATTTAGTTTCCAAAACTCTAATATTGGTCACCCAAAAGTAGATCGAATATAGTCTGACATCCAATGCAAGGAACGATTACAAAAGATAAATGACCGATGGGAAATTGTTGAGTCAATAATGGCTCTCTTTTCCAGAACAGAAACTTATTAAAAGAGGATTTCTATTTGGTTTAAATCTCCAGCTTACACCTTCATTGTTAGGTAGCTTCTGCCTGATATATTTTCCTAAGGTATATATTACAAGCCGACATTTGTTACAGATGTATAATCCACTTCTTGAAACAAATTAATAGTTTCAGCATACTTTATAAAGGAAAAAGAATACCTGAGGGTTCTGCAAGTTGAAAACTATAAGATTTCTATCAGCAGTGCCAACGACCATAAGAGGGTGTCTGACTGTAAGTGCATAGCAGCGTTCAGGAAGTTGTTGGACATGAGCTGGATTTGGTTGTCTCAAATCCCAATACCTGATAAGATTACACCTCATTACCGAATAAAATGTACTTTGCTATCAAATGTTAATGCAAAATGGGTTAGAGATAAGATTACACCTCATTACCGAATAAAATGTACTTTGCTATCAAATGTTAATGCAAAATGGGTTAGAGATAAAATAAATCAGACTGGTGCATAATTGAACAGGGAACAAAGAGGAAATGTCACATAGGAGATATTGATAATATCATATATATGTGGAAGAAAGCTTGCGGAAGTAAATTGTCAAAGCCATAAAGAAAAGATACCTTAATACGCATGTGAATAGAGATCTAAGAAAGGCTGGTTGGTGACTTGATTCATTAAATTAAAGGGAAAATTGCAGCCATGGTACCAAACCCTTAAAAAAATCGCAGCTCAAGTCCAAAATGATAGTTTCCGTCGGTTTGACCTTAGAAACCGCCAGTTGACCCCAAAAATAAAAAATTTAATAATTTCTCCCAAATAAGCTAAGAGTATTTTGAACATTACAAATTTCTCCTAATAAATTAAAAATAAAAAATAAAATCACAATCCACCCCCATCTCCTTCTTCCCAAACCCCCTCACCACCTTCAAACCACCCTCAACCCGCCACCTAAGCCACCGGAAAATGCCCCTCATACTGGCGGTTTAACCCCCTCAACACACTCCAACAAACCAACCACTCAAACATTACCAAATGAGGAAGTAATCAATGAAAATTCATCAAGGGCTGCACACGGCCTACTTCCAAAATGCACCACCTCCGATCAATTTGATGGTTGCAGACCACCACCTGTTTATCCACCTATGCACGACGACCAACTTCATGGAACAATTTTTGACTAAAACAATGCAGCAGCTGCTCCTTGGGAATTGCGCACCGGCCAAAACATTGCACAGCTGCTCCTCTATTTCAATTGAAGGGTCCCACAACCTTAATCCACCAAATTCGACCAGCCAACATCTAATTCAAGGCCAATCGACAATGGGTAGGGGGGCCAACTGTCGAAGAAATTCCATCGAATTTGAGCACCAAACTTGCGATTGGTGCAAAATTCCAAGATCCACAATTCAGCCACTTCTAGCGGGACCCACGGCATGGCACCACCACCGTTGAATTCTGAATCATCTAAAGCCCCTATGGTGTCAATCCTACCAACCAATTCATCAAAAAATGCACTTCCAATTTTGAGCCACCACCTTATTTGGAAGAAATTATTAGATTTTTAATTTCTGGAATCAATTGAAAGTTTCTAAGGTCAAATTGACGAAGACAGTCCTTTTGGACTTGAGCTACGATTTTTTTAGAGGTTGGTACCTATCACAAATGAAAGGTTTGGGCTAAGTCTGCTACTAAATGAAAGGTTTGGTATCATGTCTACAATTTTCCCTAAATTAAATGCAAATTTATGTCGGGGAAAGATTGCTACCCCATGAAATGTTGTAAAGTACATGTAATGAAACTAGATAAACTCCAGATAATGAAGATAGCAGAGATGCAGTTCTACTAAATCATAAAGACATCAGAAAACAGTATTCAGGACCAAAAAAAAAAAAAACTAATCATTACTGAGCAGAAAGGACATCTAATATTGCATACAATGCCTGCCGTAATTGAAGGCCCATTCCATGAAACTTAAGAGATAGTTATAAATACAAATATTGCACTTCAATAACAGATAATGATGAGTCACTGTCTATGTAATATGTAATTATGCTTTGATAGTATGTGCTACGCAAACAAACATAAACGAAACCAAAAGCCACATATCATGCATTTATAGGAAGCCAAAAGTTAAAATTGCACCTCCATGTCTATAACTTCATAAAAATAATTTAAAGATGCCTCATTTCTGGAATCCTTTGTCAGGATATAACATCAGCAATAGGGGTTCTGTGGGAATGCCGAAATTTTCTTGCAATTGTATGTGATTTTTATGCCCCTCAAATTCTGATTTATTAACAACTTTTTATGCAGTGCTGATAGTAAATATAAGCAAGTACATATGCATATATGTGTAAAGTATGTATAAGTATATGGCCTTATATTGTAACTACAATGGCTATTAAGGCCAAACGCACCTTAGGGTCTTATCCCAACTTCCTGTTACTAAGAGACTCATTTCTGGGACCCAAGCAATTTCTTTGACAGGAGCATCATGCATGGCCACTGTTACAGGTTGGCCGCCAGACAACAATGGCCACATCTTAACTTGCTTGTCACAGCCTCCAGAGAAGACAGTTGTCCCATCATCCTTCCAAGTTGAGCATAACACCTTGCAAACATAAAACGATAATTTAGCAATTGATCATGCAAATTCAACCGAATATAAATGAAGTACCATTGTAAGGTTTACAAAAGTAGACATTTTACCGGCTGCTCGTGTGATATCG